TGGTGGTTCCATTCCCAGCTTTCCGAGAAATCTCCATACTGCTTTCCAAATTGGCTGCACCAATTTGCAGTCCCACCAGCAATGAACAAGAGTGCCCTTTTCCCCACATCCTCTCCAGCACTTATTGTTGTTTGACTTCCTAATGCTTGCCGATACTTTTAATTCATTTGCTCTGCGGCTCTTCCAGGCTACTTGGCTAGGAGAGCGCAACCCTGGAGCTCACGTTCTCCACCTCCACCAGGAGCTCAGCTGACTGCACAGACAGGTGCCAAGGTGGCCCTGCCCTGGCCTTGAGTGAAGGGAACCCTCAGGGCTGCCTGCTCCCTAGACATCCGAGGGAGCAAGCACTGCCTTTTCTATGCTCCTTAAACCGCCTCCCCCATTACTTCTCCTTTACTTCAATAGGTGGCCTCCCCACCTGTGTCACAGAGAAAATGAAACACCCCTCTTACTGCCACCTCCTCTGCATGACCCTCTGGCCCCCATCCATCCTTCCTCTTGCTCTCTATCACAGCAGAAGAGCTGATCGTCCCGCTCCTCAGAAGCTAATCTTTTATCAGCCATGGCTGCCACAAAAATGGAGGGTGAGGCACTGTAATGTATGAAAGGGCTTAAAATGTGATTGCAGAAATGAAAACACATTTTTTTTCTTTTTTTGTACCAGGAATTGAACTCGGGGGCACTCAGCCACTGAGCCACACCCCCAGCCTATTTTGTGTTTTATTTAGAGACAGGGTCTCACTGAGTTGCTTAGCACTTGTTTTTGCAGAAGATGGCTTTGAACTTGTGATCCTCCTGCCTCAGCCTCTTCAGCTGCTGGGATTATAGGCATGTTCCACCATGCCTGGCAAAATACAAGTTTTGTAAGATTAAAAAAATGAAAAAATAGGAAAGAGTTAAAAAATTCCCAAAACTAGTTGGAAATCTAATACACAATAGGAATTCCAGTGATATAAAACAGAAAGCAAATTATTATTTTTTTTCCCAGTACTCCAAACCCAGGACTTTGAACATGTTAGGCTTTCTACTGCTGAGCTCCATGTCCAGCACAGAGAAGGCAAGTTACGTTAATTAAAAACTGGGGTGGGTAGCTCAGTGGTAGAGCGCTTACCTAGCACATGTGAGGCACTGGGCTTAATCCTCAGCACTGCATATAAATAAATAAAGATGTGTCCATCTACAATTAAAAAAATTTAAAAACAAATGTAAAGCTGGAGGTGCACACCTGAGTCCCAGAGACTTGGGAGGCTGAGGCAGGAGAATGTCAAGTTCAAAGCCAGCCTCAGCAACTTAGTGAGACCCTGTC